AGACGTCGTTCCCCGCCGGCCCGCGCTGCGATCCCCGCACCGCGGCGTCCGCGCGCCCCTCGCCGGGCTTCTTCCCCGCGGCCGCAGCCCGAGTGTGCCAGGAGTGTGCGGGGACGGGCTGGGCCCGAACTGGGGAGTGTGTCGGGCTTCCCAGCCCTCGCCGGCCAGGCGCCGGCCTACTCCGCGTGGGGCGGCCGTGCGCCCCGGTCACTTGGAGGAAAGCTGGTGGCCAGCGGCTCTGTCACGCCGGTGACAGTACGGCTCTTCTCGGCGACGCTGCGGCTCCCCCCACCCCACCCCGGCCGGCCTCGGCCCCTTCCTTCGGGGCGTGGGGTACGGTGTTGGCTGCTCCTTTGTTCGCGGAGGCGAAGCGGAGGCCCTCGGGCTGAGGCTTTCCGCGCCCCCGGGCTGAGCTGTCCGGAGAGGCGCAGCCTGCTCCCGGGCTGGTCTGAGCGCCTTGCGGTTGTGTGGTTTGGGGGTTTGGTCCGTCTCGGCAGAATCGTTTTGAATACGCCAGAGGGGCTTGATGCGCTGGGCTTGGGGCTGGTGACAGCAAGGCAACCGGCCTCCTAAACACCCGGGTGGCTCGAGCACAGCCTCGGGGACTGTAAGGACACGCAGCGAGCTCCACTCAGCCGGAGAGCGGACGCCTGGCCGCGCCGCGCGCCCCAGAAAGCCACCGGCGCCGTAACCGCTGCGGCGAAGGGGACCGAGGACCCGCTGCTTCCTCCGTCCAGCCACCGGGCATTGTTAGGGCCCGAGACGGGGAGAAGCGAGGCAGCCGCTGGGAGCACAGGGGAACAGTGCACCCGGAGAGGGCTGGGCGGTGAGGGGGTACTTCTAGGAAACCTTGATAGCCCCGGCCCAGGCCCAGCCAGCCGCCCAGGGAGCCGGCAGCAGCAGCAGCAGCAGCAGCCTCACTGGTGACCGTTCCTCTGTGTGTGTATTTTTGTTTTTGTTTTTGTTTTGCTTACAGATCAACAAAAAACTACAGTGATTGAAAACGGGGAAATCAGGTTCAATGGGAAAGGGAAAAAGATTCGGAAGCCTCGGACCATTTATTCCAGCCTCCAGCTCCAGGCTCTAAACCACCGTTTTCAGCAGACTCAGTACCTGGCCCTTCCCGAGAGAGCCGAACTGGCAGCTTCCTTAGGACTGACACAAACACAGGTAATTCCCGAGAAGCCCGAAAATCCCTGAAATGCTGGCCCACCTTGCAGATCCGGCAGGAATCTTGGCCTAGTCAACTAAGGATGAAAGAGCTTAATGACAAATGCCTTTGCTCCACTTGTACAGTTTCTTGGGAATCACACCGTGTGGAATAAATAACCTGGTATTGAATACTGGATTGGATTTACACATCTGTCCCACCCTCTGCGACCCTGCCCCAGCCTAGCTTCCATTGGCAACAAAACTCATAATTCATTCAAATCCTATTCCAGAGCAGAACAACAGGAAAGAGAACAATCGTGTAGAAGAAGAAGAAAAAGAAGAAGAAGAAAAAAAAAACACAGGCTAGTAGGCAAGATAAGGCCCACCTTTCTTAAGGATACTTTTGTGGCCTTAGGAACTAATAAAAATTTCCACTCCTTGACAGAGAAAGAAAAATTATAAAGCAGAATGAAGGGATTATAATAGAGTAGGCTCCAAAGGGGACAGTAACAGCACCAACGTGTGAATTGTTTGTCCTAGGATTTCCTAGATTGCCCTAACCTCAGTGGTTAAATCGTCCTGGGGGATGGGCTGGTGCAGGCTGAGGGACCTCTCTGGAGCAGGGGACTTGGGGCCCGTGGCAGAGCTGAAGATCAAAAACAGCTACTCTCCAAATTCTAGCCACAGGGACATACAGTTGCTGAAGTTCTTCAGCCCTACTCATGTGAAAGATGCCTCACAGGAAGGGGCTTAGGTGGGTGTATTAGGACCCTGCTCAAAAAGCCAGGCTTGAGTCACCTGTCTCACCTGTCGTTTTTTGTCCTTGTCAATTAATTTAGTTGCATGGGGTAGCAGGCCTCATCTGAGGTGGATGATCTGCATTCAGCAGGGGAACTTGAGGGTTTATGAGGTGCTTGCTCAGAACTGGTAATGTGGTACCTTAAAGTACATGCTTGTAAGCAGTTCTTTCCAGGTTAGCTTGTGCTCTCTCTTGCCATATCGCCACTGAAAATATTGGGACTTTGGCGTGAAGTGATACCAGCTACTCAGTGACTTGTATTATTCTTGCAAAAGCAGATTCCAGGGATTTGAAAGGTAAAGAAAGATGTACCATAGACTTTTCTTCTTCAAATAAAGTAGATCTGGGATGTCGGCCTACATATACTCCTATCCCAGAGTCCTAGTTCATGTTCAGTTTTCAGAAATCTTTTACTTTTTAGTGACTACACTAATAATCATGTTATCATTGTGGACTCCAGTTTGACCAAGCAATGTACAAAGTAGAGGAAGGGGGAAAGTGTAGTCCTCAATGCCTGCAGGACTGTGGGGTTATATTTATGTCTGGAGAAAGATGCCCCACGCAGCGTCTATGACAATGGGCACCAAACACCTAGGTCTGTTCAAGGTCTTTGATTATAAATATAAAGGCTTCCAGCTATTCATAGTCCTTTGCTCATTGTACAGGCATACAGATGCCAGCTTTGGTGACTGGCAAATAGAAAAACAGACATGCAATTGTATGGCTTCGATATGGAAAGCACTCATTTCAAAAGTCCTTCATCAAATTTTGGACCCATTTCTCTCCTTCACTGTCTCATGTTATTCCCACTTAGGTTTATGCTTTAAACACAGGATAGTATCTAACTCAAGAATCATGAGGGTTTTAGGTATGGAGACAAGATACCTCTTTGTAGGTTGGGAGTGGAGCTTGGAGGTGGCTAGAAAGAGGAAGAGGAAGAGGAAGGTAGGACTTGGTCTCTTGGTGCGGTGGGTCCCCGCCCCCACGTTGCTTCTTAAACCTGTAGCCACACTACCGACACTGGTTTATCAGGCCTAATGATTGCTGCGTTTTTTCCAGGTGAAGATATGGTTTCAGAACAAGCGCTCTAAGTTTAAGAAGCTGCTGAAGCAGGGCAGTAACCCGCATGAGAGCGACCCCCTGCCAGGCTCCGCAGCCCTGTCACCACGCTCGCCAGCGCTGCCTCCAGTGTGGGACGTTTCTGCCTCTGCCAAGGGCGTCAGCATGCCCCCTAACAGCTACATGCCCGGCTATTCGCACTGGTACTCCTCACCACACCAAGACACGATGCAGAGACCCCAGATGATGTGAGTTGTCAGAGGGGACACAAGGGGAATGCCTAAACAAGACAAGGAAGACCCTGGACCTGCTTGTGTCTGCCGAACCAAGCCGAAGGAGCAGGCTCAGGAGAACTTGTATGTGTGGCCGGAAGCTGGCTGGGCTTTTCTCTCTGTCTCTCTGTATCTCTCTCTCTCCCTTCACCCCCTCTTCTCTTTTTCTCCCTTCTACCCCTCCTTTTCTCACTTCTCATTCATTCTTTCTTTTTCCCGCTTTACTTTCTATCCTTTCCTCAACTGCCTTCTTCCTTGAGCAACCTTAGTAATTTATCTTGCATTTCAGAGAGAGAGAAAGAGGAGAGAGACTAGTTTCTATGCCAGCGCTCCGAAAACCCCTCACTGTAAGGATATTTTCCCTTACCCCTTGGGATTCAGGCTCTGAGCCGCCTCTTCTCTTTGGGAGTATCCACCAAAATGACTTTTTTTAAACAGACATTTCTCCCCACCAGAAGAATCTGCACAAACATGGCAGCATTTTTACATGTTTAATGAGCTTAAGACATTTCATGATGAAAGAGAAGCATTTTTGGACTCCTTCATTTTTATTTACTAATCCCAGACTGACACAAGAGAAAAAGAAAAAGAAAATAAACCCTCACATAACAACCCTTCTCTAAAGAAAAAGGAAGAATCGGCTGTAAAATTAGAATATTGCCACAAGAGGAATGCTGCATGTTTATCAAAATGCAATGACCAGAAATGATGATTCATTTAAAATGCAAACGACAACAAGCAAAAGGCTCCTTCCCTACCCCACCCCCAAACCTTGAACTGCAATCAGGAAAGACAGAGGAAACAACCAAAATCACCATTGTGTTGCTTTGACACCTTTACTAGGTGAATTGGTGGCATTCACTAAGCTAATAGGGACGTTTATATCAAGAAACATTTCTGTATATATTGTTGAATTTTAGTTGTATATATACTTTGTATGTTTTTGTCTTCTTTCATATATGGAGTAAAAGCCACAAAATGCTGGGAGTGTCTTGTATATTTCTCTGTGTGGTTCTGTCTCTCTCCTCCTCCCTTTTCCTCCCTCCCCTCCTATTTTCTATCACTCTTAAAAAAATTCTATTTTCTAATATGGGAAGCCCTATCTATATATAAAAATCAAGTGCCTGAAAAGATGTCACTTTGCACTTCTAGCCTGTCTTAAGTATTTCACCATGCACCATGGGTGTTTTCTCAGCTTTCTTTTACATGTAAATTTTTAATTGTAATTTCTAAACATTTATCTATTCTCTTTAAATACTAGAATGAGCTCTACTCCCAGGTTTACCTCCAGATAGCCAGTAGTGTCTAGTACCAAACTGAGCGCTCCCCTTTCTCTTTTCCCAGCCAAAATGATACAGCTGTATTTATCATTGTTTGGAGGCAATTTTTAATGAAAAAAGGAAAGAATAAAGAAAAAACAGTAAAGTGCACAGTGATGCCTATTTAATGTTTAAAACCCATTGCAAGCTAGCTAGGTAGGAAAAATGTACGATCCTGGATGAAATACATCCTTCCGATCGGATAGAAAGCAAAGAAATAATGAAAATGAAAAGTCCTTTCGTCATACAAGCAGGAAACCCCATACTGTGAGAATTAATGGCTACAGACCTGGGCATCCTTCAAATTATGAACCTTGAAACCACTGAGCCATTTATCAGAAGTCAATAGAGATACTCAGAGTGCTCCATATAATGACAGCGACATACAGTCGTGCAAAAGGACAGTCACTATAATTAGACACAAAGCAAAGACTACTTACCAATATACCCGTTCCTTTTTTTGTTGAGCAACTTCCACGCTCAGTCAGTCTTCAGAATGGTTTAAAACGGATCAGTCTTGTCATTTTCTAGCATTCGCATTGTTACATTAGGAAAAATGTTTTCTTTTCTTTTTTCCCCCTTCCTACTGTGAAACTTTGGGTTCGTAGCTCCCCAGGATCAATTCTGAACAAAGCCTCCAGCTGCAGTGCCATCCAATTTGAAGCAGACATTGGGGACAATTTAAGGTTTTTATCCACAAGAAGGTTTTTTTCCATTCTCTTAAATGCAGCCATAATTAGAGTAATTTTTCATGTAGCCCGCTGATTACAGCGTTTTTACCGTCAAAGATAATTACCTGTAATTTTCTTCCACTTTTAATACTAAAAAGCCATCTTTATTTAGATTCAGGAACAGGAAAGGCGAAACAAAAGAGGGAAATTATTCTGTTATTCATACACAAATTGCAGAGACGTAGGACCTAAAATTGAAAATTAACCAAAATTATAATGCTGAAAAGAATAGAAGAAGGCTGCAGATGTACAGCTGGTAGCGGGGCTTTGCTGAATTATTCAAATTACGTTAGAGGGAAAGCTACCATACATCGAAACCAACACTAATTTTTCTCTAAAAAAAAAAAATTCACCAGATACATGCCAAACCACTCTGAATGCATGGGACTCTGAAAACCAGCGAACGTATGTTAACGTATTGGAGGTGTTAATGTGGTGTATCTGTATCGAGCTCTTTCTCTCTTAACATGAGTTTAATTAAATTCTACCAAGGAGTCCCCCCTAAAACTGTCCTTGGAACTGGGCTTCCTCTGGATCCTCTGAGCGTCAAGAGTTAATATTTTTGCTCTTTAGAATGTATTGACCCCCTAGTAAACCGATTCCCCGAGGGAGGGATTGGTAGGAGGGGCGTGGGCGAAAGGCGTCGCCCAGTTGCGCTGCCTACAACGCCTCCCTACGTTCCAACTTCCCCGGAGGTTGCAGGGTTCGACTTCCAAAGCTGAGTTATGACCACATTTCCCATTTAAAAAAAAAAAAAAAAAAATAGCTGCAGGTACGGGGTGGGGGCTGGGTAAGGGTGAAGGAGACAATTTCTCCTTGGTGCCAATAAGCGTCTCATCATCTTTTGGAGACAATTTGCTGAAAAGGTTCCTGCCTGTCGTAGAAGAAAGGCTTTTTCTGTACTGGGGAAACCAAAGATTTCTCAGGCTCCTATGCGCCACATTTCTAGCTGCTTATAATGTCTACTCGGTCAGGAAACAGCGTCATCTATAGATAGAACAACACCGCTTTCAGCCGGAGTCCTTGGTGCGTTCCTAAACCAGACAGCTTCCTTGGCTTTGTAGCTAGGTTTTGCATCTCAGCCAATCGCGCCCCTTCAACCCCAAGGCCTCAGCGTTTGCGCTTTGTGAGCAGTAAACTCCGAGACCCACATACCCACCCCCAGCTTCACCCCTACACACACACACACACACACACACACACACACACACACACACCTTAAGGTAAAGGCCCTGAAAACAGCTTCGAAGGATTTCAGAGGCCATTCACCCCGAAAACTTCTAACTGGAGGAAGGATGACCAAGAGGCTGCAAAGTCAAGAGATTCAGGCTGCACCTGGCTTTGCAAAAGTCTGCATACCTGTCATTCTGAAGGCGCCCTGCCGGGAACTCCCTAAGTTCCTCTCTGGACTCCTAAAAATCTAAAATCCTGGCCCCATGTAAAGATCTCAGTGGATTCACCTAGGATTAGCTGTGAATATTATCCTCAAATAGATTGCAGCTTGGAGTCCCAGGCTGCCTTGCACCTTGTAGAAACCCAGCCCTTTACACAGTCTCTAGTCACCAACTGCACCAAACACATCAACAGCACAGAAAACAAGAGAGATAAATCAGGTTGTGAAGGAGCCCAGTCTCACAGGAACCCTGTTACTCATCAGAACAGCAATTCTTTTACTCTTAAAGGGCGATAAAAGGGCAGAATTTAAAAATCTAGAAAGCAAAGTTGTAGCCCACAATACATTACAACAATAACACACATAGGTTGGAAAGCATGAGAAGAGAAATATGAACTATGCCTTGGAGTATGCAAGAAATAAAAACTTACCCCCAGTGAATACTTCTTAAGCAATGATCAGGGTCTAGAAATCTATTCTGAACCGAAGCAGAGGAGAATATTTTTCTGAGTCTCAGGACAGAAGCTCTTTCTCTATATTCTTGGTTGAGTGAGCACATCCAGGTGTGAAATTGTTTGCACACCCCAGCACCTCTTATATTGCCAGCAAAATTAGCTGTTATTACTGTCACTGTTTAGTGATGGTTAGCGTGATACAAAAAAAAAAAAAAAAAAAACTGCTGTAATCAAGACCTGGCGCATCTTTGCAAATTACAGATAATTGTAAACGTCCAGATTATGATAATAGCATCCTAATCCAGCCTGCAATATAATTATTACAGAGTGTTACATCTGAAACTGTCCAGTAGGGCTAATTCAGCCATTATTTAGACCCTATTTTTGCACCGCAAATGGGTTGCTGAGTTGAAAATGTACGATTGTAATTTCACGGGGCACTCAATGAGTAATGGTATAGGAAGAGGAAAATACAAAAGTGAAATGTGAACAGTAGCGATCAAATCAAACCCTGAAGGACAAAAGACTGTTTGATTCATATGGAAAAAGAAGAGCAAGAATTAAGAAAATAGCAAATCAGTAGTCTGAAGCATTACGTGTCTAAATCCTCAATAGTGCAGGGTGGATGGGTTTGCAAGGGCTGCTGTGTCTGCTGCTCTTGCTGCCTGGAGTCTGAAATCATTTTTCTTTTTCTTTCTTTCTGTTTTAAAACCTCTGGTCTTTCTCTTCTCTCCCAAAGCATTTTCCTGCTTTAGGAAGTGCCCCTCCCCAAAGCAAAGAATATTTGTCAGCTTTATTATTGTTTCCATAACAGCTGCTTTACAGTGTGCCTGTCACTTGTTTATGAACATTTCCTTAAATGAATTTGCAGTCTCTTGTCATCAGAGCAGAACACCCTGGGTGCTTATAAGTGTTCCTGGGCTCCATCTCCACCTTCTCCACCCTCTTGCACAGAGAAAAAGTCAGGGAGAGTCTTGGAGGATATTAGCAGACAACATATTGATTGCTGCTAATTAAGTATAGCTGGATGGGAAGCTGTCTTCTCCAGCTGACTTGGCTTTCTATTGGTTTTAATCCTGTTATTAGCTCTTATTTATTAAAAGGCATAAGGCCTATAACTCACAAACCTTTATATAAATCAGCCCAGTTGATTCTTTTGCTACATGTCACCATACACCTAAAAGAGCAAGGTCTACTTAAAATAGAAGAGGACCGAAGAGACACAGGGTGAGAGACGGGCGGCTAGTGAGGGGCTGGGAGACAGTAGGGTTCAGTCCAAGCCCTCTGGGGATTCCAGCTATTACTTTTGGGAAAATAAGCTCTGGTCTGGTGCAGACCTCCTCAGACTAATCTGTTTCCTGGTGGGGACCTCCTAACCAAAGGTACCTAACGCTCTTCTGTCCCCAGGAGTTCAGATTTTCCCACCCTGAACACAGAGAATGTTCTGAGCATCTTTCCCAGCCTCTAGCTAGTGTGTGTGCATCTTCCCTCCTCTCATCTCCTCCCCTGTCCCGGAGCTGCCCTGGCCGGGCCACAAACCCTGTGGGTGGCAAGCAAGCTTCCTAGCTCCTGTGAATTTAAGGCCAATCATGAAATGTCCCCTGTTTAGTGACCCCTGTTTATAGATGAAAGTTGAATCCATATCTACTCTCTTTCCCCGCCCCCTCTCTTCCCCACCTTGCAAATGGCAAGTGGCAGAAATAGTCCTTGGGTAACAATAAGCTTCCAGTAGCAGTGTCTGTCTTCACATGTTTCAAGGAAAAAAAAAATGCTTTAAAATAAATCATAGCCTAGGAAATGTTTACTGTCCTTCACCACTACCCACTTCTTAAAAAAAATAGATTATGTATGGTGGAGATTCCACAGAGAATTGTTACTGAAACCAAGAGGGTGTGTGTGTGTGTGTGTGTGTGTGTGTGTGTGTGTGTGTGTGTGTGTGTATGTGCCCGCCTGTGGGTAGAATGATGTTATGAAGCCATTTTTTTTCTTCCTGTGGTGAAAGGTCGTAATGTGTGGCATTTCACGGTTTTATATAAATCTTGGTTTAGGATGTGGAACAGACTCAATAATACATGTGCTTTTGGCAAAA